GCGTAGCATTATCAAACGTATTATCGTTTCGACTCCCACTAGTTCCACCTTATTTGTCAATTGTTATCTGTCAATTGTCTATATTATCTATATGACTGTCAGCTGTCAGGCTTGTAGAACAAGATCAGCCAATGACGAGCGCTCACGCCAAATGCGCACGACGATTGGCTGTAGACGCTGCAGGTAATGTTGGCGGGAGATATTTGCATTCAACTTCATATCATTATAGGGTATGTAACTCTATTCATTGCAAAAATGTCTTTGGTTCGTTGTAACTACACTATATTAAACTTTTTATATATTTACAGTGAAAGTATATATAATTACATATTGAAGAGAAAAGAAGAAAAAATAAAACGAAAAGTTCAACTATGAAGAATAACCTCCTGCTTTCTGAAAAAATTCTACGCTCTTTATGTTAATCGCGGTGAGTTAACCTCTTCAGAGATAATTGACATTTATGTACATATTATACATACATATAATGCAATATTTTAAAAATATCAACGACGAAAAGAAAATTAGAAAGACTTTAAAGTAATTTTATAATTTTATTTTAATTTTTACAGATTTTGAATTAAAATATTATAAAATATTATAAAATATTAATTTAAAAATATATGTTTCTGAAAAGATTAATAATTACTAGTTTTCTTTTCTACATTTTATATAAAAAATGATTTGAATTATTGTAAAACATGATTTTTTAAACTTAAATGTTTCTTTACTTTAAAAAATTTCTAAATTATATTGTCTTTCTTCTGCATATATTACATTACAAAGTAGCTTACGTTGCAAAATGACAGGGTGTTAGTTAAGTATGTTACCATACTCAACAGAGCGATTCTTTGGTTTATTTCAAGTAAAAAAGTCCATATAAACATGTGTCCTAAACGGCTTAGTTTCCGAAATAAAACAATTTGAACATGTAGTAATAATCTGTTTATTTGAAAGAAATACAGCTTGAACTAATCAAAAACTAGTCAAAAACAGAAAAACAAAAACAGGCTTCAGTTCTTCTGATGAAATAAAACAATTAGATGAATTGTTGAAAATGTCCACCTTGCGATTTTAATGGACTGAAACAATTCGGCCTGAAAACGTATGTACAAGCTAACTGACCCGCAGCAACATCAGAACTGAAGTCTATTTTTGAGTTTGTGTCACTTTGTTTACGGTTGTGCGAATGGTAACTCACGTGAAGCAAGGCATATTTATGCAGGAAGATATCTCCAACGCAATTTACCGTTTTGTCAAACATTTGCGAACATTCATCTGTATTTCGGAAACTAAGCCGTTTATATGGCCTTTTTTACTTGAAATAAACCAAAGAATCGCTCTGTTGAGTATGGCAACATACTTAACTAACACCCTGTATATGTATACTACCTTGTATGTATACTACCTTGTATGTATACTATCTTGATCAAAAAGTTCCCGGAATTACCACCAGATGATGCTCTGAGTCAGCTGATTTGAGTTCTGTTTTTTTGGTTAGGTTGCCACATCTATCATTGACATTTCCACCAAATGTTATCGCCATAGCTTGACATTCGTAAAAGTTACGCCGTCTTAAGTACATCTACCTCTGTACGTGTTTTCGATTTTTTACAGTTTTAAAAATAGAGTTGAATTTGCAACAATGAGTTTGTATTAAATTTTTTGACCAAGAACGAAACGAATACCATTCAACAGCCATCGAATTCACCCGATATGTCTCCCTGCGATTTTTTTCTGTTCGATCGAGTCAAAAAACCACTACTAAGAAGTAATGGAAAAATCGAAGACGGCTCTGATGGTTATACCGACAATA